GGATGAAGCATGTCAAAATGCTTTTGAAAGCATTAAGGAATACCTCCTTCACCCTCCAGTTCTTGTTGCACCCATTCTTGGGAGACCATTGATCCTTTATATTGCTGCACAAGAATATTCCTTGGGAGCATTGCTGGAACAAGTCAATGAAGAAGGAAAAGAAAATGCTCTCTATTATTTGAGCCGTACTCTCGTAGGGGCAGAAGTGAATTACTCACCCATTGAGAGGATTTGTCTAGCCTTGATCTTCTCTACGAAGAAATTGAGACATTATATGTTGGCTCATGTTGTACATCTTATTTCAAAAGCAGACCCCTTAAAATACATCATGTCAAAGCTGGTGCTCTCTGGTAGATTAGCAAAATGGGCACTATTATTGTCTGAATTTGAAATAATTTATGTGCCACAAAAGGCAATAAAAGGACAAGCCTTAGCTGATTTTCTTGCAGATCATCCAATTCCAGCTGAATGGGAGTTGTCAAAGGATCTTCCAGATGAGGAGATGTTCTTTGTAGATGTATTGCCATCATGGGAGCTTTACTTCGATGGAGCATCAAGAAGAGATGGTGCTGGGGTTGGCGTGGTGTTTGTAACGCCAAAAAATGAAGTAATACCATTCTCTTTCTCTTTAAGAGAACAATGCTCCAATAATGTTGCTGAGTATCAAGCCTTGATTGCGGGCTTGGAGATGGCTCTTGAAATGCAAATTTACCAACTCAGTGTTTATGGGGACTCAAGCTTAGTAGTGAATCAACTCATAAAGGAGTTTGATGTTTGAAAACCAGAACTTGTCCCATACTTCCAATATGCCTCTCAACTCCTTGAGAAATTTGATCATGTCTCAATTGCCCACGTTCCTAGAAGTCGAAACAAGCAAGCAGATGCTTTGGCTAATTTAGCTGCTGTCCTTGCAAGTCTCGATAATCAAGAAGTCACTATTTTTGTGTCGCAACGATGGATTTCACCTCATTTGAGATCTGAAGATGCAGAAAGCAATGTTGTTTCAGTATGTGTCATTGAGAAAGAAGACTGGAGACAACCAATCATCAATTACTTGGAACATGGAAAGCTACCAGATGATCCACGCCCAAAATCCATAATTCGGAGGAGGGCTCTACGCTTTGTTTACTTTTGTAACACCCTCTATCGGCGATCTTTTGATGGAGTTCTCCTTAGATGTTTGGATGGAGATGAATCATCCCAAGTGGTTGAGGAGGCGCATTCTGGAATTTGTGGAGCTCATCAGTCTGGTCCAAAGCTTCACTATCGAATAAGAAGAATGGGATACTACTGGCCAACAATGGTAAAGGATTGCATGGAATATGCGAAGAAATGTGAAGCATGTTAGTTTCATGCAAACTTTATCCATCAGCCACCTGAGCCTTTACATCCAACAATAGCATCATGGCCCTTTCATGCTTGGGGTTTAGATGTGATTGGACCCATAACACCAAAATCTTCAGCCGGGCATGCATATATCCTGGCAGCAACTGATTACTTCTCCAAATGGGCGAAAGCTGTACCTTTGAGAGAAGTCAAGAAGGAAAATGTTGTTGACTTCATTCGAGTCAATATCATCTATCGGTATGGTGTTCCAAGGTACATAATTACAGATAATGGCAAGCCCTTTGCCAACAGTCTCATGGACAAGCTATGTTCAAAGTTCAAGTTTGCCCAACATTTTTCCTCCATGTACAATGCTACTGCGAATGGACTGGCAGAAGCGTTTAATAAAACCCTTTGCAATCTCCTTAAGAAGGTTGTTTCAAAGTCCAAGCGAGATTGGCATGAAAGAATTGGTGAAGCACTTTGGGCGTATCGAACGACTCATCGTACTCCAACAAAAGCAACTCCTTATTCCTTTGTGTATGGAGTTGAAGCTGTTCTCCCTTTGGAATGCCAAATTCCATCTCTCAGGATCGCCATTCAAGAAGGTCTTACTAATGAACAAAATGCCAAGCTTTGTCTCCAAGAACTAGAAGCCTTAGATGAGAAAAGATTAGAGACCCAACAACACTTAGAGTGTTATCAAGCCAGATTGTCCAGGGCGTTCAACAAGAAGGTCCAACTAAGGGCATTTCAAGTTGGAGATGTGGTGTTAGCTGTTCGAAGGCCAATTGTCATCACTCGTCATTCAGGGGGCAAGTTTACTTCAAAATGGGATGGTCCTTATATCGTGATAGAAGTTTACAGTAATGGTGCCTACAAGATTGTTGACAAAGATGGTCTACAGATTGGTCCCATTAATGGAAAGTTCCTCAAGAAGTTTTACTCTTAAAAAAATGTAATACTCCTAGTCACAAGAGTATAAACTGTATGACCAAAATAAAAAAATGTAATACTCTTGGCCCGCAAGAGTATAAACTGTGAACGGCTCAAAAAAAAAAAAAAACCTTTGAACTACGGTTGACTTGATCCCTAAAAAGGGTACGTAGGCAACTTGGTGTTTTTTCCAAGTTCAGTCAAATTTTTAAAATAAATTTAAGTTTGCTTTTGATTATGGTTCATTTCAAGTGTCCAAAAAAGGGAGAAATGTCTATGTCAAGCAAAGAAAGCAAAGCAAAGAGAACAACAAAAGTGAAGAAAATGCATCTTATTTATTCACAAAGTGGCTAAAGCCAAAATTTGACAAGTCTTTGAAAAGGAATGCTCAAAGTCTAAAAAAAGAGAAAGAATACAAAATGAACAACATCACATGTTGTTTTCAAACCAAGTTCCCTTTGCAATGGCTTCAAGCTCAATTTCAAGGTCTTATCGCATCCTCTCCACTTCAGCGACTGTCTCAACAACTACAACTTTGGAGTTTTCCAATTCTATCGATTTTGCTTGGTTGGACTGAAGTTGTTCTTCTGCTGTCTGCCTCTTGTCAAGGAGCAAATCAAGTGTGGAAGTCACATCACTATGTTGCTGCTCAACTGATTCTAGCTCCTTCTTCAAACTTTCAATCTTACTCTCTAAGGATCCCTTTTTCTTGGCGAGTTCATTGATTTCCTTTGAAAGAGAGTCATGGACGATTTGATTTGATGATTTCCCCTTCTGTAAGGTAGCAAGAGATTTATCTCTTTCTTCAACATCCAAGCCGGTGGAGACCTCATCTCGTTTTGCTAAGTAAAGATTTACCTTAAATAGGTAAGCATCCATCGTCTTGAGTAAAGGTCCAACATCCATGCGGAAATAGAGTTGGAGTGCTTCTGAAATTACAGAAGATCGCTTTGCCCACCACTATCCAAGCCCAGAAAAGCCATTCTGCAAGCCTCGTGAAAATTCCTCTTGCACATAGTTACTCATAGCTTTAAAAAGGATGGGCTTCACCAGTGCTTGAAAGCTAATTGGTTCCAAAGGCTTTGTGATGCAGGAGAATGTAGGCTTAAGTTTCAGTGGATTAGATGATGTCATGGCAGGAGGATTAAGTCCAATGATTTCCTTCACACTTGGTTATCTGTCATGAGAGTCAACTTCCCCATCTTCGGCAATTCCTTGCTCACCAACATTTAAGGATAGAACTCCTCCATCAATTTGACTTGGAAGTGATCCAAGTATCTCAAGAGTATCTGTCTCAAGAAAATCATCTAAAGCACCAATCATCTCTTCATCTCCTGGCAGTCCTCTTAATTCTGGGGAGCTAAATATTTCTGAAAGAAAAAAAAAAAGTCAGTAACAAAAGAGGAAGATTTTCTTTAAAAGGTGAAGAAACGTGCTTACCTTCATACAAAGCTTGACGGGTGGTTTGCTGGGTAGTAGGCGTAGAAAGTGAATGTTGTAAAGAGTCTGGCTCTCTTTGAGGACTTCTGTTGCATTTCTGCTTCTTTGAAGATGGACTAGGGTCATCAGCATTATTTCGCTTTTGTGAGGGAGACAATAGTGCTTGAAGCTGTTTCCCCTTCCCTTGAGGTCTGATTATTGTGCTCTTCATTAAGGATGGGATGAAATTTCTAGCCTCGCTAGCCTTCAAGAATTGGATGCTCACTACAGAAATTGAAGGAAAAACTTCTTCATTCCACCACTTCACATAAGCTGGGTCAACCCTAGATGCTACTCCGCCTTCAACTGAGGGGATATGAAGAAATGTGTTGCTATGTACTCGGGTTAAAGATAACCAAAAGCAATAAAGATCTGACACTTCACCACCATGAGGCAATTTGACATGTCTTCCTGGAAGTCTTTGTTGAAATCCATGCTGTCTAGCAAATCGGTGAGGATTATAAGACTTCTTTGTGAAGCGGCCTTCTTGGCGAAGCACCACATAACCTGCTCTGATGCTCACCATGAAATCCAAAGTGTCAGCCCGTCGTTGTCCATCATCAACTCGAGGTCCAAGGTGGGTTGGTAAAGGCACTGGAGTCCAACAAAAGTCGTTTGAGGATAAATTACCTCGTAAAACTGCACGAAAATCTGCTACCTCTGGTTCCCAAGGTTGGTATGCATTCAAAATCCCACGAAATTGCCGAACCATAGGTAGAGAAGCTTCATATCTGGCTGCAAAAGTTTTGTGGGGGAAATGCAAACCAGCCAAGCATATAAATAATGTCCAGGAAAATGAGGAGTTTCAGTTGCATGTACCCATGAACCTTTAGGTACTTTTGTCAGTTGTCCAAGTCCACGATAGATGCATGCCAAGATAGGAGGAACCAAGCTGTAGGTAACACCAATTGCCATTTTGGTTGCAGCTTTGAAAGTTCCGACTCTAACAAATTCTTCCCCATCTGGAAAAACAAATCTACCAAGCCAAACACAAAGATAAGCAGCAATCAAAAGTTTTTCTCTATCATTTACCTCCAAAGTAACATCCAACATGCCAAGTCGATCCCATTGT